CTCTTCGGAAGGATAGCAGCATGGTATATGAAAGCTCAAAGTGCTTCTCAGGGAGAAACCTCAATTATGCAGAAGACAAGTGAATACCCATTCAGTATTATGGAAGTCATTCATTACCCACCTTGACAAAGCTCCACTGAATGGTACAAACAGAAAACATTTTTAAATGAATAAAAATGAAAAAGAAGAAACAATCAATATATACAAAAGGAAAACCTCCCCAGGAATCTCAATGTGAAATTCAGAATTTGCTGTGTGAAATCGCTCATTGGCATTCATTCTCCAGCAAACGCAATTTTGATTCCGTGGGGCCAACCTGGTGATAGATTCCAATCCAGGGTCTAGTGGGCACAAGCAGAAAGGTGGCAAAATTTAATGAGATCAGAAAGCAGGGGAGCCAGCCCAAAGGTCAAGGCTGGTAATTTGAACTCTCTGCTCCCGATTTTAAAAATCTCCTAAAAAAGACAAGCCCCCTCAAAAAAAAAAAAAAAAAAAAAAAAAAAAAAAAAAAAAATGTTGGTAAGAAAGGAAAAAAATGTGTTTATACATTTTTTTTTTCTTGAACATTTTCAAAGCATTAGCCAGGTTCTCAAAAATAAATAAATAAACAAACAAACAAATAAATAAATAAATAAATAAAAGAAAGCTAATGACCACCAGAAAGGTAAAAATTACTTAAGGGAATATACGTCCTACCCTTCAGCAAATGCTGGAGACATGTTACATGTTATAGACTGAACTGTGTCCCATCGCTGCCAAATTCACATGTCCTAATTCCCAATGTGACTGTGTCTGGAAAGTAAGTAAATTTGTAAGTGCCAGGGCCCTTCTCCAATGGCCAGTATCATATACCTACAATGAGAAGAACCTGTGAAAATACCAGGAAATGTTGGCCATCTACACCCCAAGGAAAGATGCCCTTAAAGCCCTCCAAGCCTCCAGGACTCTGAGAGAATAAATGTCTGTGGGGTACATGAGCCAGTCTGTGGCGTCCTTCGACACAGCCCCAGCAAATTATCAGGCACCCAAAGCCGGTATGCCCCTTCCCTCTTCTCTTAAAACTTCAGCCACCTTCTAGTCAAAACAAAAGGCTGCCCTACCCTGTCATTAGTTTCCCAACAAGGAACAGTATTTGGACTGCTTATACAACCATTAGTTTTAAAGTGTCATACCTTACCTCTCACTCATTAGGTTTCCTAAAGCTAATGGCATGGCATGTTAAAAAAAAAAAGAAAGAAATGAGTAAAAATAAGCAGCCCAATGGCCACTGAAAGTTGAGAAAGCAAACGGGAATTAAAATGTCTCAGAGGAAGTTTGGCAAGTGTTCTGCCCAAGATGTAGTATGGCTTGTATGGCACATTTTCATTCCCAGTAGAAAGGCTAACACATGGCTTCATCCTTCATCCAGCCAACTAATGCTTAAGGGCTAGTTTATTCTTATTTCAAGAACCTTGAACTGGGGGCACAGTTAGCCTAGCCTGCCGGAAGCCTGGAGTTCCATCCTGGCATCAAATAAGCTGGGTGTGTCTACCACACAGCAAGCTCAGTGCCAACCTGGTCTACCTAGGGGCCCATCTTTAAAAAAAAAAAAAAAAAAAAAAAAAAAGGCTACAGAGTGAGCCCCTGGTTTTTTGTTTGTTTGTTTTTTTAAAAAAAAAAAGACTTTTTAGCCCTAGTGTCACTAGAAATAGCCAAAAATTTTGGGGCTGGAGATTAGCTCAAAATTTAGGGTTGGGAATTAGCTCAGCTGTTCAGCATGTGCTTGACACATGTGAGGCCCTTCATTCAATCAGGATCACTAACAAAAATTAAATATACGTGTGGGTATCTTTATGTGTATCCAGGTGTGTAAAATATGTAACTTTTCCTAGCACAGCCAATGGACTGAGCAATAACTACGTAATAATACCGTCTACGGTATTTATAAAGTTTTAATCCACTAAGTCAAGCGCACACTCTTGTAAATACCAACGCTCGCTGGCATCTATTCGAAATGCTTTCCAAATTCTCACGATTGTTCGGCCTCTTTGCTTGAGACCCATAGTTATCAGCTACTGTGCATAACGAATTAAGAGTGACTGAAACATGCCTTGAGAATAGTTTAACGTCCTCTCATTCTGAGAAGGGAAATACACACAGCAAACCAAACAGCACCATGACAGCAGAACCAAGAATTAGGTTACCTGGCCCTGGAAGTTTATTACAGGCGTGTTTTGGGGCTCTGCCCGTTATCACATATGCTCGCAATTTGGTTAAAGCCCGAACTCACTTCATGTGCGCTGGGGAACTCAAGTACGCTCCAACCCCTGGATAAAATGAAGGTGGTGAAAAAAAAAAAAAAAAATCTCTCACCAGGCTCAGAACCTCCAAATAAAAAAGATGAAACCAATCACTTCTCCTTCGAATACAGGCCACGGTGAAGATCTGGGTAGACTGTGGCATTATGACAACCAAGGACAAACCTGCCCGGGAAGCGGGAACGAGCTTTCTACTAGAACCAGGATGCCAGCCCTGAACACTGAGCTTCCGTGGGGCCGGGACGAGCTGCCCTGGAGGCCAGGTGACCACCGTGGGCTCCACGACGCTCGTCCACGCACGCCTTCCCGACCACCCACGGCGCTGGCCCCACTCACCGCACACCATCAGCAGCAGGACGATCAGCAGCGTGGCCACGAACACCAGCAGGGTCAACCCCACGTTGTGCCACATCTTGAGAGCTGGAGGGTGGGCGCGGGCTCAGCGGCGGGCGGCGGGGCGGCGGGGCGGCATGTGCGGCGGGCGCCCGAGGGCAGCGCCCCCAGGGGGCGGGGCTGGGCGGTGCGGAGGCGGACCGCGGAGGGACCCACCCGCAGACCTGCCCCCGGCCGGGGCGACCTAGGCGCGGGAAGAGCGGGCCGCGGGACGCCACTACCGCCTCATCGCTCCGTGGAGCCCGGGCCACGGCGAGCGGAGAGGCCGGCGACGAACCGACACGCTGCCATGGCGGACGCCGAAGGGGAAAGCGTGAGCTGGAGGTGGCGCGGCGGACGCAAGGCCCCGGCAGCGGCTCCCGCGAGGTCCCCTCGGCCCTCGGAGACGCCAGATGTCAACCACTCCCCGAGGCCGCCGCAGCTGCTCCTCCGCTCCCTGCCCCCTCCCCCGCAGCAGCTCATCACCAAGCACCCACTCGGCAGCGATGCTGCCGCTGCGCGGGGCCTGCTGGGAAATGTAGTTCAAAGCTCCTGAGAGGTGCAGGTCTTTACCCAACAAGGAAATACAACTCCCAGAATTCAACACTTCCCAGGGCTTCGCCTTGCTCTCCTTTCCTGTCCCCAGTGCCTTTGGTGTTCTGGAGACACCACCTCCTTCTGAAGACGACTGGCTAGTGTTCTCAAAAAGTCTGTGCGGTGGGCTGTCTCCTTCACTAGGCTATACCGAGGCGCCAGTGACGTTTCAGCCGTGAATCCAAAAACAAAATTGTTTTTAGTAAGAGGGAAAGAAGGAAGACGGTTGCCTGAAAAAACAGGTTTCACTTGAACCTAACCTATTGCCGCCGGCGAAGATTGGATACTTGTGAGGCAATAAGTCCCCTGACCCAAAGACGTAAGAATCTGGAAAGCCTTTTCCCATCCCCCAGCTACAGATGTTGTGTTATGTTTTCACAGATAATATCCTTCAGGTGTAACTTGTGAGTGACTTAGGGACATCTGTGCCTGTAATTCACCTACCTGTTTAGCAAGTTTTGTTCAGCTGTTTCCCAACTGTGCAAGCTGTATTCCAGCTCAGAAGCAGCACTGTGAATAAATACTGCATATAAAAATACGCAACGGCATTACTTGCTCTGCGGTAATAGATTTAATATACCGTTCCTGTGAAGAGAGTGAGCTCAATGCAATAAATTTAGAAATCAACTTATTCATTCTTAGTGGATGAGCCAATTCACTTGCATAACAGGACATTTTGATTACAATCTGGTTGAAAGAACCACATTTGAATAGATCTAGTTCAAAAGAAAATCAGAAAGAATTAAGGATTTTAACCTTTTTCATACACATATAGTAAACATGTTTGTCTTCCATGGACTTCTTTGAGGTGCCAAGATGGGGGAAAAAAATGGTGTCTGAGCTCAAGCTATTCATATTGTAGGTGGAAGGTACGAGCAATGAGTAGAGATGTACAATAACTTCAAATTCCTAATGAAAACAAGGAAGGCAATAGGCGTGTTTAAATTGGGAAGACCTACCTGAGGAAGAGACTTATTAGGATCTGAGTCCTGAATAAGAATCTAGCCATGAAGAGACCTACAGGAAGAATTACTAGATACTAAGAGCAGCGTGTGAAAAACGCCTCAGACCAAATAAACTTGACCTTCTGAATCCTGACAGTGTTTCTCAAGTCCACACGCACATTTGAACCACTCAGAGAGACGTAAAAAACTACAAATAGCCATATCTTACCCACACTCAATGAATTCCAGTCTCCAGGACAAGGAGCAGGCAAAGTGGTTTTTGTTTGTTTGGTTGGTTGGTTTGGTTGGTTGTTTTTGTTTGTTTGTTTGTTTGTTTTTTAGAGCTCCCAGGTGATTGTAATGTATCCTCCAAAACCGTGACTCTCAAAGAATGATCTCACAGCTCAACATCTGGGTCACGTGTCAGAACTGCCCCAGAACTATTCAATCAAAATTACTATGGAAATCTAAGTAAAAGTTTTGGCTGAGGGCAGTCATCTCTGGCTTCGTGAAAAGTGGACAGATAGAGGACACATTTTGGAATGAAATCATTAGGATTAGTGAATGGATTAGCAGTATAGACCAATGAAGAAAGTAGAAATCTAAATTGACTTGAAAAGCCTGCATCAGTGGCATATGCCATTATTCTTAGCACTTGGAAGGTGGAGGATCAGAAGTTCAAGGCCAGCCCTAGCTACATGGTGAGGTCAAGACTAGCTTGGACTACTATATGAGACCATATCTTAGAAAAGCAGAAAAAGAAAGAAAAAAAGAATCATATGTAGAGAAAAGGAAACCCTTACACACTAATGAAAATGTATATTTATACTGGGATTTTGGAAAAGTACATGTAGGCTTCTCAAAATGCTAAAATTAGAAGTACCACATGATCCAGTAATTTTATTGCTGGCTATATTTCCAAAGGAAATGCAATCAGTATGCTGAAGGGACATCTGTGCCACTGTGTTCATTAAAGCCAAGTAGTGTGGGGGTGGGAGATCAAGTAAGTAAGCTCGAGTAAGTAAAAATCAGTAGCCAAGATGGGGGATCAAGCTACATTCCCATTAACAGAATGAATAAAGACAATACGTCTGAATAGAACGCAGAGCATTCTATTCAGCAGTAAAGAACAACATCATATCATTTGCAAAAATGTAGGTGAACCCATGTTAGTACAACTCCAGCTCCAGGGGATGTGGTGACCTCTTCTGGCCCCCATGGATCCCGTACTCATGTGCACAAATCCACACAGACATACAAAATAATAATTACGTTTTTGCATCTTTGTGAAGGAAAGCATGGTTTATTACACACATATGTAAAACAAATAATTCAAAAGATCATGCTGTATACATAAATGATACAATAACACCTATCGCTTAAAACTGTCAAGTTTCTAATCCAAGCTTTTTGGTGAATTGTGGCACAACTTCCTGCTATAGGATACTTTAAGAACCCCTATCTTTACAACTGTGGGGGTTCATATTTTTAACTCCAGCACATGAAAAACAAAACGGGGGGGATCAGGAACTCAAGGAAAGTCTGGGACACATGAAACTTAAAAGAAACCCTTTACCCCAAAGCCATAGAACAGGTCCAAGGCTTCAAGAATCCTACCAACCATAGAATTCCAGAAATCAGCCTGTAGGCTCAGGGAGGAGTAAAAGTATATAGGCTAAGAAGGATGAGGGAGAGGACAGAACTCTATCTATTCATCCATGGGGAAGTCACCATCAGTACCAGATTCAGACGTTTTCCTGTGGCTGTTTTAAGGCCACCCACACTTGCTCTGTCAGCAAGCCCAATAAACTCACGGATTCTCCAGAGTAACTCTGATGGACTGGTTCCTCAGTTTGTTGGTTTGTTGGTATCTTAGGAGGATGAGCAAAATGTTGTTTCTGTCTCTCTCAGGGTAACAGCACTCTAGATCTGTCTTGTAATGAGAAACTGAAACGGTTAATCACATAGAAATTAGGAGTAGAATAGATGTTAGTAGAGGTGGGGAGTGGTGCTATTGGGGACAGAGGAATGCAAACAAGTGAGTCAACCAGTATAAGTTCACAGCCTAGTTTCTTCACCTGCATATACCGCACCTGTCCCCAAACAATGCACCTAGCAACCTCGGCCCTTCCTCAAGTCCCCACCTGCCTCACACTGTATACACTCCTCTCTGTAAATTTTTCTACCCCTAGAAACAAACAAATTTGAGTAGTTTCTATTTTCGGGTATTCCCAATAGATCAGGATAGAAATCATGAAAAAGCTGATCTAATTTGAACCGGTTTGGGGTGCATGCCCAGTAAGGCAAAACTGTTTCAACAAGTGAACTTTTAGGAAGAATCTCCTATTTACTAGCTTGTGCTTATGTATAATTAACTAGGTAAGCAGACGCATTACAGGAAAGGACACGCTCAGTGGGGAGGGGAATGTTACATGATCTGTCCTTCCAAAGAGAGAACGATCCTAAATATCTCTTGAACCCCATAAAAAGCCCCAAACAATAATCAAAGCCTTAAGTGCCCTCAATCATGTGGACCTATGCCAAGCTTGACGGTATACCCCTCTTTAATATACATTATCACCTTGCTTTGAAGAAAGTTATCTTACTTTACGATCTGTGAGAGCCCTCATTTTTCAGTTCTCTGCACAAAAGGCCAAGAACCTGGAAATGACAAGTTCCCTCTAGATGCGTTTTGACTGTGCTTTTGGTAAAGGTAGGCCATACAGATAAGGGCCATCCTTTAGTTGGATACAATTTTTAAAACTCAAAACTAAAAGAAAAAAAAAAGTATTTCTGCCAATATTAAATAACCAATAAGATAAGGAGGAACAAATGGGCTATGATTGGGAAGAAGATAGAATTAGAAATGGAAGAAGAAATGTTCTGGGCTGGGTTGAGGGTGGAGGACTTAAGCATGCTGTCTACAGCTCCTCCATGTGGAGGACAAAGTGGACATATTGGCTAGGGCACTGAAGACTGGAAGGCACTTAGGGCTGAAAGAACAAAGGGCAGATGCACACAAATAAAGGCACGAGAAATAAACCCATAACCTGGGTTGGCTTTGTCTGATCCTGTGACCTAGAACAAATTCTGAAATTGGATTAAAGAAATCCTGGATTAGTATGGCCCTAAGGCTTGGGAGACGCAAACCAAGAAGTAATTGTTCTAGGCCTCAGATTACTTCTACAAATATCTTCCAACGTGATTTCCTGCACTCACTCAAACTTGGGCTCTTTGTTTGGTATTTGTGTGTGTGTGTGTGTGTGTGTGTGTGTGTGTGTGTGTGTGTGTGT